AATGATTATATTACAAATTATAATACAATAAAATTTAAATTCTTGTAGAGCATAAAGTCTCCTAAAAAATCTATCTTAGTGTGATTCCATTCAATTCAAAAGTTCCTGTATTTAAAAGCTTTCAAATTGTAAAAAAGTTAATGCCGAGAACGAGAAAAATTTAATTACACAAATACAAAAATACAATTTGACACTATTTGCACAAGGATAAAATTTTGAAAAAATGGGTGTGGTCCCGCGTACATATCTCCTAAGTCACTAAAGCTACAATAACCAAATTCGCTTAGGACGAATCCTTTAAGAACTCCTACCGAGAGTGCGAAAATGGAAGAAGTTGGATTATAACCCCACCCTCTACTCATATGACGGTTTTGTAAAAAACTACTAAAAGTGCGATAAATAAATAACTAAATGCTTCAGAGGCATACAATGTTTCACCCTAGATGGTATGAGAGGGCTTTATAGGAGCAGGTATCAAATTTGGGCGATGGGCGTGGCACCAGTATGTAATAAGATATTGAATTTTTTGAAATCAGATAAAAACCACGCCTACTTCTAATATAAAAATTCCAGCAGATTCTTTCGCTTTCCAGTATATAAAGTTAAAAGGTTGCACAAAAAGTTCCCTCAAGATATTCCATCTTACGCATAAAAATTGTCGAAATTAGACTATAACTTTTCAATAACCCATACGCCAAATATGTAGACCCCAGTGTATTTGGCAGACATGTTGCCGTAAATATCGGCCAATCTGTGAGAAATAGTATTGAAATTTATTAATAATATATCTTTGTGTTAGTAATGGATTGAAACAAATCAATACTTCCCTTAACTTCTTGGTCTAAGCCTCTTATCCCTATATAATGAATTCCGATCCTTTGGTCGACGTTTTTCAAAGCAACTCAATATATTAATTTTAGCCACTTCGGTTGAGTTTGTCATCACACATACCTCATTTGAGGATGATTTTAGTATAATTTTCGCTGTATAAAAGATTCGGCTACACCCGAATTTAGATCTTTCTTACTTGTTCTATTTTATTTTATTTGAATTGGGCTTTGTAAGCTTATTTTATTTTGGTAAGTAGGTTCATTTTAGCACATGAATCCGATAAGTTAATTTTTGGCTCACCCTAATAAAAACTGAAATTTAGCTGTAGATTCTATGGCTTAAAGTTGTACATTTGTCTATAGGTGAGTGTGTTTTGTGCTATTGGTAGTACTCTACTTTGGTATATGGCTTTCTGATTTCATCTTCTATGCATTCTTGCTGACTGCCCGTGTTCGACTCCTCGTATAGTCTATGGTACGATTGCAGGTTGTATCTTTATATAATATTGTGTATGTGTGTGTAAGGTATGGCCCAACCGACTGGCTGTACGCTTTGTTAGTTATTTGGTTGGCACGACGATTTGATGTTGGTTTTTTGTTTGGATTGTTGGCTTCAAACTTGTTAGGTGGGTTTCGTGGGCTCCCAGCTGCCAGCATTCTAGCCCGTATGTACTTTATCAGTGTCCCACCAGCTTCGATTCCTAATGCAACACGGCCACAGCACCGCACGTCAGCTTTGCTCAACGTGAGCTTCTTTCTACTTACGCGCATATAATATGACTGCATATCTGTACATTTACACACACGCATACATGCATTTGTATAGATGTATGTATGTATCTACTGCTGTATGGCTGTGTGGTTGCGCTGTTTTTATTCTTTTGTGCGGTGCTGTGTATCCGTCGGATAAGTTTGGTTCTTCTTGTACTCAATTATACGGGAATTACGCATCTATCTGCGCTTCACGAGTGGCTAAACGAGTGCACATACACATTACGAGTATACAAACACACACGCGCATTAGACATATGGTCGAGTGGCAACACACACACATATGTATATAAATTTATCCGTCATAGGGAAGTATCTTCCTCGAAATAAATTGAGGTGTGTAATTTGCGCACACACACATGCATACACAAACACGCAATACTTGTATGATATGTGATGAAGTGCTTGCAAGTTGGCTAAGGCTTGGCCAGCAGTTGACTGTAATGGATTAATTGTTGCAATGTGACAGTTATTACTTCTACTTCTTCCTATGCATTTAATCGTTTACTTTTATTTTCATTACTTTTACACACATTTCTCTACGCGTTTATGCTTTATTTATATTTTGTTTTACTTTATTATTATTTCATTTTTTTTTGTTGCGTTACTCATACGTCCGTCCAACTTTGTGCTTCGTTGGTGGTGAGTGTTGTCATTTCGAGGTGGGTTAATTAGCGCGTTTAAGCACCTAATTGGCATAATTTTCGCAACTTTTATTTCATTATTAGTTAATTATATATGTGTATGTGATTCAACGCCTAACCAGTTAGGGTTTTTTATTTGGGGGAAGCTTATGATTATTTAATTGTGGGTTTACTACTGAAGTTTGGTGCTCTTAGTGTTGCCTGGTTGAGATTTTTCAAAACGCAACTGATAGTATTAGTTTTTATACGAGTATCAGGGCAATATTGCTGAACACTGAACAGGGTATATTAAGTTTGCAACGGTGTTTGTAACACCCTAAAGGAAGCGTCAGAGACGCTTTATATTATAAATGATCAGCGTGACAGGCTGTTTCGATTTAGCCATGTCCGTCTGTCTGTCCGTCTGTAGGAGTGTATGTGTATGCGAACTAGTCCCTCGATTTTTGAGATATCGATCTGAAATTTTGCACCCCTATTATATAGCTGCCAAACAAGCTGAACGATTAAAATAAAGTGATGTGCAATGATATCTTTTTTCTAAAAAGTCTACTTCTCAATTGCTTTAAATAATTTTTATACTCTCGCAATATGTTGTTACAGAGTATAATAGTTTTGTTCACCTAACAGTTGTTTGTATCACCTAAAACTTATCGGGTTATATATATATAACTGATCAGGATGAAGAGACGAGTTGAAATCCGGCTGACTGTCTGTCCGTCCGTCCGTCCGTCCGTCTGTGCTAGCTGTAACTTGAGTAAAAATTGAGATATCTTTATGAAACTTGGTACACATATTTCTTGATACCGTAAGACGGTTGGTATTGCAGATGGGCGTAATCGGACCACTGCCACGCCCACAAAACGCCATTAATCAAAAACCAATAAATTGACATAACTAAGCTCCTCAACAAGATACAATACTCTTATTTGGTATACAGGATCACATGGGAAGGGCATCTGCAGTTTAAATTTTTGTTTTTAAGTGGGTGTGGTCCCGCCCCTTAATCAGTTTAATGTGCATATCTGCTATACCACTGAAGCTATAATAAAAAAATTCACTGGGAACAAATGTTTTTAGCATCTCTATCGACCGTGTGAAAATTTGTGAAATCTGGTAACAACCTTGCCCACTCCCCTTATAACGGTACTGTTAAAAACTACTAAAAGCGCGATAAATCAAACACTAAACAAGTCAGAGACATTAAGTTTTATCTTTGGGATGGTATAAGATGATTTTATAGGAACCACGTTCAAAATTAGATAGTGGGCGTGGCACCGATTGGATACCAGGCCGGCAAAATACCTATATCTCCAAAAATAACATGAACTTTGAAAAATCTCTTGTAGACATATTCTTTAATAGTTAAACTTTGGATTTCTTTATTTCTAAATTAGAATACTCCCTAAGTGAAAGGAGTATTTTTTTAGCATAAAAAACTATCTTAAGATATCACTGTTTCTTAAATCCAAAGAAAGTATTTTGTTCAAATCGAGATCGAGAATTAAGCTCGAGACAATTGACGCCTTGAAAGAGAATATTCGGCTCGTTATTGCTGACATACGGCCCCAATTGCTTGAAAAAGTGGTCGAAATTTGGCACTCCCGTCTGGAATTTATTCGAGCCGGTCACTTGGCCAAAATCAATTTTAATCATAAAGGAATAAGGGTATATAATAAAGCTGAATTCTTGGCCATAACACAAAGTTATAAGCGTTTTATTTCTACTAGAAACTCTAGTCTAGAAAAAACACTCTTAAATTCATAATTAGTGTATTTACAAAAGTGCAGATTTCTAAATAGAGCAGTAAACGTTGCCTACATTTCAGCGCTGTAGTTAAATGAATATGTTCTACGTCCTACTGTTTTAATAAGGAATTTAATTAAATTAGGAATATCTCTCAAATACGGTTATATAGACAGGAATTATTTTGTATTTGTCTAAATTGGTCAAAAGAAAAGAAGTAATTACTTATTAAAAAAAAAAAATTATTTTAATTTATTTAAAATTAAAGAAAATACTGCCACGTTCTTACAAAAATTCCTGAACCTTTTTGACCGTATACTATTTTTTATAGTTTGTTAACTAATAGCACTATAGTGTATCCTAAGTTATATTTGGAACAGTTCAGGTATTAACGTTGTCATTCAGCGATCATCTAAAAATAAAAATGTTTGTCGCATAACAACTACCATTAAAGTTATTTACTACCAAGAAAATTTGTTTTTAAAATTTGTATAGGGGTATAGACCTGTGATCCAACTAAAATGATATATTAAGCATTCTGTGCGCATTTATTTCTTTCATTTTCTTGGCTCAAAATTTTCAAATATTTTACATGGTACCCAAGCAGAATTTGGTTCATCTGTTTACACACACATACATCTAAGTATGTAAGCATTAAAATGAAAGCAAGATCAACACGGCTTTAAAGGTAAGCTATATAATATGATGGGAGAGAAAACGAGATTGTAACTACATTAGGACACGCACAAACCGCTTTAAGGTCTAACAACGGGCCTGGAACGAAGCCTCTTAGTATGTTAAGAGAATGAAAAGGATAAAGCAAAATTCTAATAAACTTAAATTTGCTGTAGCGACTGTTTTTTACGCATTCATCTTAAAACCAGGGATCAACTACTGCACAGAAATTTTGTATTGTTGTTGCTCCTTTTTGTTTAGTAATATATGTATGTTTGATAGAAATAACAAAAAAAGTTAATTTC